TTCCTGGAAGCTTGGCACTCAGACAAATCAGCCATCAGTAGACACATAGAGATAAATCACATTTACGTACCATTCGAAAGAGACAAGAAAAAAGCTATCAAGAAAAAAAAAAGAGCAGAACACACCATCTCCAGGAGCCAACACCCAAATAGGCAGTGATTAACACCAGGCAAACAATCAAGCAAAAAACAATAGCCTAATTAAGGAACTACTAAGGAGAAAACCACATCCCCACCAACACTGGCAGGGCAAGCTACTGTATATGAACAGAGAGCAAACCCCACACTCTCTAGCACTGATGATGTTACCTAGTTGAGTAATGAAGCATCTACAAGCAAGCAACCAAGCTCAGAGAGCACCAAGGACTCCACAATTAAATGTCATTGGTAACTCTATTGTTTTAATTTAAAAAAAACAAAACCCAACAGCTTTGAAACTTATTCAAGGTTTGTTGATGTTTCTGCTTTCTGAGAACTGCTCATCCTTAATAACTTTTTCAGTATTTAGTGCAAGGGATCCAAGAGAGCCACCTCTCAAATTGCTCCATTAGCATCTGTAAAATGTTGCTGCCCCCACAGAAAAGGCTGTGCCTATCCTGAGCATTACAACACCATTGCGAAATACCAGTCATAGTGCTCTCCTTCAACAGCTATGATATAACATTAGGACCTAACACCAAACTAGACTTAGATATATTTAAAAAAAAACAAATGATTCAGGTTGCCCATAAATGGATCCAGCTCTACTTTCCACTTCATCTTTGTTACACAGTCAAAGATCTGCAGAACTACTTATAGTACTAAATTCCCAGCAATGCCATAAATCCTCTTTCTGCAGGCCACCACTTAGAATACCCTTCCCAACCTGATACTCTTCTGAGAATTCTGGGTCCTAAAGGATAGGCATCTGGTAGAAAGCCTAATTATGTCATTTGCACAGATCAGCCAAATTGCATACTTGGCATTATTTTGCAACCCAAATGTAATTTGCATTATTTGTGTGATGATGTCATTGGTGTGTATGATGTCACTTGTCTTTTTGTCCTCCTTGAATACATGTGAAAGAAGTGAGGTTAGAAAAGGTTGCTTTACAAACATACCAGACTCTGAGCTATCTAATCCCTTTTTCAGATTCATAGCCCTGGGTTGACTGAGTAAATAGAATCTATCACTCAAAGAATTTCAAACCAGAGCCCCTCCTCTCAGCTGGATTCCTGAGGGAGGGTATATAATGGAGAGGGCCAAGCCTCCAATAGTCTCCAATTGTCAGCTAGAAGGGAGGGAATTGGGAGGTTTGGATGAAAAGGGTGGTCAGTGTGACGCTCTAGACATTTATCCAAGTATATCTTCCAGCAGTTGGAATGTCTGGCTTAAATAACAGTAACTTCAGCTAAAGAAACTAGGGGAAGTGATTAAGTAACTATGGACCAAGTGGCTAGGAAAGTCATCTCTGAAAAATCACTTAAAGTGTAATCCTAAACCAATTCCATCTTAACACATACAAAGTCAAGCCTATTTTATATAAGTTTACCTGGTAAAGATATTTATAAAAGTTGACCTGTATCCAAGCTGAAATAGTGTTTTATCATCAGCAAGCTTGTTTTTTAATACACAGAAAACATAACTTCAATTGACCTTTTGAGGTTGAATGAAAAATGTTATCCTTATTTGTAAGCATTTCACTTTTCCTGGGTTTATCTAAATTCTCCCTATGTTCTACTAAGGTACATCACTAACAGAAACAGAAACATTCTAAACTGGGAAAAGATTTGAAGGTATCAACAATGGCAAGAGGGACCTTATATAACTGGAAGACCATATTTCTTAAGGAATGCAATCTACCAATTCCCAACATGTACCAATTTCCCATACATGTCACTAGGGCCAAGAGCTCAGACAATCAGATAATCCTATAACAATTAATTGTGGCTGATCTGACATGACGTTTTTATCCTGGTCATTAAATTAACCCATTTTCTGGGTTGACACAATACGTTAGACTAATTAAACAAACTATCTCGCACAACATGGCAAGGAG